AACAACAGTTATTAATACAAATAAACGTAACAAAAATAAATGGAGTGAAAAAAAACACAACTCCAACAAACAAATACGAACGAAAGCAAAAGCTAACGAAACGTAAAAAAGCAAAGCAAAATATACGGTCGAATAAATAATACGACCGATAAAAAGCGAAAAAACTTCACGAAAAAACCGAACAGCGCAAAACACGTAGATACGCGCTCGGTGCGTGGAGTATAGCAAAATGGCCGAACAAAGGCCGAACAAAGGCCGGCCGATTAAGGCCTAAAAGCAGGATATATTAACTAAATAAACGTCTGCAAAGACTGTTATAGTTAAGGATGGGTTTAAAGCAATAAACCGATATATAAATAATCGGCTATAAGGTAGACTTAAGCTAAAAGGAAAAGGAAGGCACTCAGCTGAATATAGCACGTCCGCCCGCTCCGGTAGCCATAAAGATAAGAGGAAGGGAAATAACTCTATGTTCATGACGTGAAGGCTCATGGTCGTAGGGAGGGCGGGATTTTTGAATCTTTTGTTTTTGGGATACAAAGATGGGTGTAGGTACCATATTTGCATACTAAAGTTATGGTAATTATTACTGAAATGAAATAGGTGATTAAAGCTGTGAGAAAACAGGGGAAAAAATCCTGCCAAGTGCCCTGACAGGAATGCATGGAACCGGAGTCTTTGACTGCTGAGTGACCGTATTTAACACTATTACAAGCCAAACCGACCCAAACCTTTAACAATACTCCCCGTTTTTCTTGTGATTTCCTATACCTTGATCTGTTGGATTTGATCGGGTTTGATTAGGTGCTAATGAGAAAGAACAGGGAAAAACACATTTCTGCAGTGAGTTCTAACATGGATCAAAACGGGGTATCTGGCATGATACTACACTGCTTTATCAACTGAGCCAAGAAGTTCTTCCACCAGTGACAGAGACCTTATTTATCGCTATAAAGGATGACAAATCGACTAGCTCCTTTTTCAGCTTTTTCAGAGCAGTTTTTCCAACAAATGTCAGTTTAATATGTTTTTGCACTTGTATTTGGCAGCTATTCAATTTCCTGTCAATTTTTCATTGCATCATTTTAAGATTTACCTTATCCTGAGAGTGCAGGTGGGTATCTAGGGACTCCTGGGAACCATGTGCTGGCTTATCTCTCTCCCCAAAAAATAAAGACGTCCATCTACAACAGCCAAACCAATTCTATACAAACAAAAACGAAAATCTATATCTTCAAAAGAATCCAGTTTTAAAAAAATAATCTGTTATTTCAATGTGTTTAATCAGTAATTTTTTCTATATATTATCTTTCACAAAAGAAAAGAGAATATTGAAGAAAGTTACAAAATGAATTAATTTACCATCATTAAGCTGTTCTTTACATGATTAACTTCAGATATTGATACTATTAAAAGTTTAGAAATGAAAATGTTAATGGGCTAGAACAGTACATGTTAGTCCCAGACTATATTAGAATAGGGGTATCATACTGTTACATGATGAGAAACCAGATAAATCATTCATACATTCTCAGCACCTCACCAAAGCATTAAGTACCGCATTCTGTCAATAAATCACCCGATATTATAATTTACAGCACCAATCTGAATATTTGATCTAGTCATTTTTATGGTGTCCTTCTTGCTTTTTGGTGCACTCTTGTAGAAATATGGTTGGTAGCATATTCATCTATTTTAATTTTGCTTTAAGGTTTACTTTCGTCTACGGCCTTCATAATATAGCTAAATCAGTTCATAAATACACATATATTTCATTTATAAAGACATAGCAAAACATATCCCATTACCAATTATCTATCGCAGCAACCATTTAGAGAGTGAAGCACCCAGTGATGTAAGGTTCAACAGGAAAAGTAATGTGTTAACTCAATACCATTTTCTAGAATATATATCTTAATTCTAAAAAGTACCTCACCAAAGTGAGGCTGGTTCAAATCTTTTTTCTTCCTTCTTTGCCATATTTTCTGAAAATTATTTTGAATAACCAAATGAAATTTCTCTTTTGTTTTGATTCATATGTTATGTCATTTATGGTAATGATGCTGTTTATAAGTAAACTGCTTATACTATACCCATGAATGACTTTTTATAAGTTACTCACAATGGCTTCCAATATTGATATATAACTTGTCACATATCAAATATTGCTATCAATGTTACACAAGCAGCCATCACCTTAAGATGCAAGCTACAGTTATTCTGCAATGAGCCAAGGGGGCCAACATACACCAGATGGAAGTAGAGGATTGGCAAGTCAAGAGACCAGCATTTGAAGTACTGTAATGGATATTGATGGTTTGACGAGCAGACAAGGGTTTATCTCTAGGTAATTTGATAATTGACACTGCAGGATATGCATGTGCATGCAAGACCATTCAGCCTTAATTCTTTTTAAATCTATTTTTTTCAACTATGGTATTTATTTTTAATATAAAAAATAAATAAATTTAATGGTAATGCTTTGAAATTTGTCTTAAAAGCTAGAAACATTGATACAGTTTGATTACAATACCTAGTAAGGTCTTTGATGTGCATTTAAGGTTTTTATCATCACCTCTTAAAGTTTTACAATTTAATTGAAATTCAAATATATTGAACATCTGTTTAAAGTCAAACTAAAAAATGAATAAATTTACTTGTTAGTGACAAAGCAGGTTGATATATACAGCTAAATAAAAAAAGCATGATGCCTATTACAGTGTATATGAGGATGAATAAAAAGCAAGCTGTGGTAGATGTTTTAAATGGTAGAACCATACACATTGTAGCCATTTCCCTTCTTCAACACTTGAGTACTGTAAACAAACATAAATTTTAAAATAAACAAAAATAAAAACAGAAAAAAGGTCTGAATATGCTGGAAAACAAACAAAAATAAGAACAGAAAAGTTTAAGCCTTAATACATTGGAATCTTTAATCCAGCTTTCTGTTGATCTCCAGGATAAGGGGCCAAATATTCTGAAACCACAGGATTATCAAAGACAAGTTAAGAAAAATAAAGTGAAAATTTTCCATAAAACCTTGTCTGGTTTACTGTCACACCTTAACTACAACTGTGACTAGATAAGAATAAAGGACTGTAATCATAATACATTGTACTGTAAACATAAACTACTTAATCTAATTATAGTTTTGCTAATTGCAGTTGCTCTTAAATGCTTTTTTAACAAATGTTTGTGGTAAAATGATTCATTATTTGCTAATCTGCTCTAAATTTTCCAATCTTGTATTTCTTAAATCTATAGCAATTGTAAACCTATATTTCAGCAAAAGGAACCATTGCAGCACAGATTTATTTTATGTTTTTTTTTTTTAAATTCTTGTTCCTTGTACAAAGCCGAAAGACATAAAGGATTTCTTCTTGTTCTTGGGTTAGATAGTTTTAAACATATCAGACAGAGCTACAACAGAAAAAAACCCTCCATAGCTACTGGATCACAGGAAATCTACACAATCTGAGGCTATGTGCATCTGCTGAGTTCTCCAGACAATTTTGTGTGAATTGTTGCTGTCGGAAGAGCAGGGAAATTGATTTTACGACATCAGCACAATTTCCATTATAACATGCACAAAACTCTTACATGATAACCTCATACTAATCTATAGGATCAAGTCTGCAGGGACAAAAATGAAGGAACAATTTACAAGTTAAAAAAATACAACATAAATCCTAAAACTACAGATGTTGAGATCAGTGGACTTTTTTTACCTGCTCACTCAGCATTTTACAATGGAATATATTATTACCGGTATATATGTATTCCTACAGTGCCATGTAAAATATTTAAACAGAAATGAAACAGACAAGTCAGTCCCCAGGTACATATCTAAGCTTAAACATTTTCAGAATAACCATCATCCCCCAACATCTCCCAGGAAATTTACTTGGAGTACATATAAAATCAGTGGAATGATTTCATCTTTTCAGTGAACACAGATCAGCAATTGAAGTTTTAATTGTTAAAACAGGGCTTATAACACTGCAATCCTGTGAACATGAAGTCTTTGTTTTTTTTTTCTAAAAACGTCAGACACAAGAGAGATAAAAAACAGTAACTTTATTCACTATTCAATGATTTGTATACTATTGACGTTTTGCTTGAAACCAGTTCATACTAAATTCCAGAGATAAAGGTGCTATCTGGCCAGACAGCTTGCCTATAACCAAAGCTTAGTCTATCATTTAGCCTTATTTTTCCAACTGACCAATGCTAAGTCATACATCTGCATTCCTAATGCCACAGACGCTTTCACACAGTTCATTCTGCCCTATAGTATTAACACTGTCCATATCATTTGCCATATATGGACACAATTAATAATGCATACAAGTGTTGGGCTGGCCTATGCCTTTTTGTCAACACTTCTAAAATCTAGGTTAGGTTATGAACAGTGGATAATAGTACTCTTGCTTTAACTTTGAATAATTAAAATCTTAGAATTTGAATTACTTTGTTAATCGTTGTTTCACAAATTCTTTCATGAGCAATTAAACAAAAATTCTTAACCATGAGCAAGGCAATTGACAACAGACACTTCTCAGAATGAATTTATGATGTCTACAGATAGGCCACATCTGAAGACATTTTATTTACAGGAAACGATACTCAAGTAAAACAACTGCAAGATAAAATTTCAATGTTTATAAACAAATTTCAAATTATTTAAGAAGTAAAACATTCTAATGTATTTGTTTTATTGTCCATGTTCAAAATAAACTGCTTTTCTGATCAGGTTTTAAGGGTGGTGCATGACCATCTTTAAAAAGTTGATCTTTCAATTTTCACACATAAAAAGGCATTGCTTTCATACGTTTTTTTAAAACTCTATTTGATGATTAAATGTATATCTTGACCAGGAGCATACTTTTCTTAACATAACATGATCTCAAGCTGTATCTAGAGCAGTGAGGACATATAACGTTTGGCTACATAAGCAATATGAAGAATGTGCCAGAAAGTTGGTTAGCAGTGACATAGTGTGTTGGATTGAATTTTGCTGTATGTATTTAACAACCAAGGCAGCAAGATGATAAGTATAAATCTGAAGAGTTGATGCTTGATATTATTAACTTTAATCAATATTACCTATTCCAATCTTTGTGGCAGATTATGTGGTAGTTTTCTGTCAGCCTTGATGTTTTTATCTTTACATGTGCTGTGTGCAAATCACTATGGAATTCAAAAGCTAAATATAGCGTTTTAATTTACATATATTCAGTTTGATCAGATAAGTTTCCTTCATTAGTTTTGTAAGAAGGCATTTTTCAGAAGCCAATACGGATAATTTCTTCAGCAAAGACTAATCTTTAAGCAAAGAATAACTGAAGTGACTCTCGTGGATGAGTACATACCACCTGTCGTATGTTTGAGTGATCTCCAATTCAATATAATTTGCTTATGTAATCATGACCCCAGTTTTCAGCTGAATTTACTTAAGATTATACAGCTGAAAAGTCACATTAATTCATTACCAAACCATATATATGTGTTTCACACTGTGTCATTCATCTGATGAAGGTGACAGTGTATTTATCGAAACATCATACAATTTTCTAACCTTTTCTTACCATCGTGATTTAAGAACTTTAATTCTTTACATTTTATTTAGCGACATATAGATAAAACACTGGTTTACAAAAGTTTCTAGACATCATGAGAAACTTTTATGCGAGATTGTTTAATAACACAGAATAGACAAAAAATAAATAACAGAAATATGATTATAAAACTGTTCAACACTTAGTCAAAAATGTTTACGTCACACAAAACATGTAAAGACAGGACACTGAATTACATGTTCTTACTTTTCCTCTGTTCGGCTCACGAGCGCTATCCTGCCGTAATCCCAGGCAATCTTTCTCAGAATGGCAAATAGTAAGATGAGCACCTTAAAGACAAACATCATACGTCTAAACACATTTTTTCAATTATTTTGATTAAAACTGAAAATGATGGTGATTAACTAAGATTTACCATCTGGCAACTGATATTGAAGATAAAGAAGACATTTGATGTGAGGTACTTAAAAAAAATCTTCAATTTAATGGCCCAAAATGGATTGAACTCCCTTGTATATAAAGATGAATGTTTCAGAAATCTGTAAATCAGGATTAAATATGTTTAGAGGATCATGCTGATGTTATAATAACCATTGACAACAGGTAGAAACCTACCACCCATCCGATGCTGTTGATGATGAGAGTGAAAGGAATTTCTCCATATTCTCCTCCTGTGAAGTCATATTTAGTTTGATTGTGGGACCAGAAAACTCCACACTGCTCTTCTGTTGGGGGCCCTACTGGAGGAGATGTTGATGGAGGCCCTGGCCCCAAGGAATCCATCACTGAAGGATATAAAATCTCAAGCAGGTGTCACTTGCAGCTTTATAAAGAAGTCATATCCTTAATGTGAAACCTGAAATTAAAAAAACAAAAGAAACCTTTATACAAGTTTTGTATAGTTTATCTACCAGTCTTTTCTGTAATGTTTACCCAGATTTAGTTACTACAAATCAATAATGATGCCGAGGGGAAGGAGGAGGGGGAGGGGGGAATTATAGCTGATTTCATTGCGACCTGAAATGATTAGTTTGTGAGTAGTGTCTGAAATCTCCTTGACAAGGATTCTCTCACTACAAACAAATATATGGAAACCAGCATTCTCTAAATTTCCTTGGAAATGTCCAGAAGCATTGGTGAGGTCACTAGTATCGGTTGATAAGAAGAAATGTTGCATGTACATTGATCCTTTAATGTTAAAGATACCACTCAATACTGTACAATGTCAGAGGTAATGTGAAGCAATGGTCAGCAGGCTTATATATCGACACAGGGATACGTCGGAATAGCGTATATTGTCTCTCTACAGCAGGGACTTCCCATGGGAGACATTAAGCACATGGAAAGTTTTGTATCAGATAGCGAATAATGGCTCTAAAATGGAGACTGGCATGGCTGAAGGATACCTCATGTTTGCAAGAAAGTGTTTTAACATGCATACACTGATGAACCCTGGGAAAACTTACAGTACACCAAAGCTTATAATGAATTTATTCTAACATATCAAACCATCAGTCTTTTCCTCAAAAGCAATCAAAATATGAACACGTCATCAGGTACTTAAATTTAAAAGAAAATTCCACTGAGTGAAGTTAAATAAGATATCCTGTAAATAACTGATCAATATTTATGCTTGTAATACACTCATGTCAACTTGATGGTGAGGTTTGGATATTCAGAGATATTCCCTTCTCTCTGATGATACTTCTCTCTTTGTCAATGATACTTCTCAAAGGATGAGTGGATTCTTTATAGGGTAATCAATATAACTATATACTAGTGTTTATATAGAGGGTATGAAACTATGGTACATACACATACACTCTCATCATAGTGACTGAAAAGTACAGAAGTATATCTTCAAGCAGAAGAAAAAATTCCACACTAAAAAATGTTTTCATCTTGGTCATGATCAAACAGTTTAAAATTATCAAAAAAATAAATAAACAAATTAATGCGAAATCTAGATCGCTCTCAGCTATTTTACAAACAAAAATGTCTACAAAGAATCACAAAAAAGAGTTCCCTATTTTGTAGTCATTGGAATAAAAAAACAATCGAATGTTTGGAAAGTTTTTCTTAATAGCTCGTTAATTTTTTCATGAACTGCAGAAAAACAATTAATGATGGTGAAATCCAAGAAAAAAGTTCAAGATTTGCACACCACCAAATATAACTATTCATGGATGTCTTTGTTAGAATTTACTACCATTTATAACGACAACAAAATTTTACTTTAATGGAAAATCAAATTTTACAAAACAAAAAAAAAAAAAAAAGTATAATCATTTCAGGCTAATTTTCCCTTACTTCTATTCTTATCTTCAAAAGCCAGATCAGTTACCATTTTATAAATACAATTGTTCTGAAGCCAAAACCCCATTTTTGCCATTATTTTGATATTTGATAGCATTACATCTCACATCAAATTCAATTGTCCAACTTTCAGAAAATTTCTCATATCAAAGGCATGGACAATTCAATGGAAAAGATTCTCAAACATATGAAATGGCTTTATCAAAAGGAATAAAAGCATTCAAATAAACATTTTCAATACAGAAATTGTTTAGTGGAGATATTGACGGTCCAGGATTGAAAGTACAACCTACTGGTCTTGTACTGCCTGTCACACTGACTGTCAGTGCCAATTACATGAAATGTTTCCCACTAGCTCTACTCTCACATATGGTGATCTATTTTCTATATTAACAGATATTAAACCCTTATAAATATACACTCCAGAGAGATGAACTCTGGCTACGATATAATGAATGTTTCAATCAACCGGCCATCTATGTATTAAACATTACTGGTACTTACACAGTTCAGGGATCATAGCATGGCCTTCATTTTGGGGATCCCCTGAAAAATCTACACAGGATTTGGGGAAATATCTTTGTTGTGGATTTATCTTTACTGTACCATTATGTTTGAAAAAAAAATCCCAATACCAAAAACCTTCCCAGTGTTATGCATATCTACTAAAAATCTGATATTTTTATTTGGCAGAATATTGATGTGAAATACTTGCAATGTTTCAGTTTTGTAACTTCTTGTCATTTTGAAGTCAACATCACTAGAAAATGCTATTGTTATTCATATGTGCACCTTTCATCATGTAAATGACTTAACAGGAAAAATATCCATAAAAGACAAATACAGGAAATGGAAACACATTTATATTTGTTTTTTTTTTCAAACTTATTAATACATAGTATTGTTAATTAGTGGGTATTCCAGTCATAATTTGGTTTTCTATAATCTATTAACATAATCTTTTCTTATATTCAGCAATAAGCCCATGTCTGATAATAAGCCCATCATTATTCATGTTCTGCAATAAGCCCATGTCTGATAATAAGCCCATCATTATTCATGTTCTGCAATAAGCCCATGTCTGATAATAAGCCCAAATACAACTATTGTGGTTTCAGTAGAAAGCTGCACAATGCTGTGTCCTTAGTCTGTACCATTAATAACCCAACCTACTTAAAACACATAATAAAAAAAGTCTATAGGTGTTGTAGTCTCCATTTATAATTACTTGTCCTTATCAACCATGGAAACCAGAGAGTCGGAAACCAATGTCTCTACAAGGAAATTATGGTTACTCTACTGATTCATTTCAGAAAGTGAACTGTACTTGGTAAACAATCGAAACAAGACACTGAATTCCCAGTCTGATATAATATCATAAATTGTTTTGAAAGTACATATTGCACTGACTGTCATCAGATATATGTCTGATACTCTTGTTAATTTAACATATGTACAAAATAAAGACTTTATCATGCTGTAGTTATTTAACATCAAAGAAAATGGATACATCACAATTTCTGTAATTTCTTGTTGTAGCTGCAGATTACACACCCCGACTTTAAAAAAAATGCCTATCCGAGTGATGACGGCAGGTATGGTTACCATGATGATATTGCCCGACACTTTCACAATAATATGTCCACACTCAGACTTAGACAAGTGTGTAATGGAAACAAAATCTACAGGGTAACACAACCTCCCCTTCCTGTAAATGACCATTAGAGCTGTGCTTCCAGGACCAACTCATTGTACAGTAAACATGGTCATTGATGGATTAATCCTTCACAACGAAATATAAACTGCGATCAGCACAATGCTTGTATAATCTGTCATCATTTCATTTTATAATGCACTTGCTGTAACGGCACGGAGATTCAAATCAAAATGATCTTGATGTACTATGACCGAAACAAACAAAAGGATATATGTATGGAGAAAACAAATGTCAATTCACATCAATCAAATCTTGAAACTTAAATAATCTCCCTTCAAAATCTCCATCTGTTTTATCTGAAAACTCCAATTACAGCTCACGGTTTTTCCAATCAATATTTCTGCTTCCCCTTGAAATGACATTCACTTTCCTGGATCAGCAAAATGACAAGGAAACATTACTTTGTTGGAAAGTCAAATTTATCAGTATTTGGGTTCAAAGCATGATGACAAACATGTTTATATTGTTCAATCTTTATACCATTATGTCAAACTGCAATTCTAGCCAAAACAGATCTGTGTATGCTCCTATGAACTGCCATTCTATTCCCAGTCTCTGCTTTCATACCACAATAATCTCATGTGATTATACCACTATGAACTGGTGTTCTATACCCAAGATGTATGCACTTATAACAATGGTGAGTAAGCTAAAGTGAAGTACCACATCTGTTACTGAACTTGGCCCCTGCTTACAGTGTTCTCAATCAACTTGATAAGCATACGGAGTATTGCTAAAGCAATACATATCCCCTACTGGCCCCAACCAGCTAATACACTGTTATTAATTACAGAGGTAGTGTTTGGTGTTAATTTGGAGGAAAAAATGTACACAATTGATAGAGATTTTCTAAAAATAGAAATCCTGACCCTGACCATGACTTTGACCCAATAGCCTTGAAATTCAAATTTATTTAAGACATTTAAGCCCTTTAAAAGTGAGGGAATTTTCATGAAAATCCCCAAAGGAGAGAAGTTGCTAGAGACCTGACAATGATTTTCTAAAAACATTTAGTGACATTGATCTCGACTCTTCCAAGATATTCAAGTTTTTTATAAGTACATGAAAACTGATGAAAGAGAGTGCAGCTTTCAGAGCACTGACAATGACTTTCTAAAAATACAAAATGACCTTGACCCTTGTAAATGTGGTTTCATCAAAATCCCATAGGGAATGAAGCTGCTACAGTGCTGACAAAGGTTTTTCTAAAAATTGCAACAGTGAGATTGACCCAACAACTCTGAAACTCATATCTGTGTGATGCATTTTGGGCTTGTGTGCGTGAAGAAGATTCTTTAAAGGAAGGAAGTCTCTAGAGCACTGAGAGACGTCACAGATGCAGAGACAGACAGATGAGAGGAAATAACTAGAGTTCCCCTCTGCTTTCACCAGAAGGGGACTAATTATCAAACTAATCATGGAAATCGTTACCTGGAACATTGGCATTTATACATAGTTCCATTCAATGTAAATATTTGCATCAGAAACCATTGATTATACACCAGTAGTCAATGATTCATAAAGACAGGTGAGGACAGGTACAACAATGGAGTTTAATCACAATCAATAAGGGATGAGAGAAATCAGAATATTGTCTATAGTAAAGGTGTATTCTATAACAGCTACACTCTACAATATGTACTATACATGTATGAGGCCATTATGACCAACCCTGTCAATCATATGTAGCAATATCTGTATATATGATCAACACATGTGAATCTGGCTTTTAACAAACTCACGACTTGATCTCGCCTTCAAATAACATTGAAATTCCACAAGAAACAGTTCTACAAACTGGGCACTAATCACATGTATATGAA